CATCCTGTTCCACAAGGGTTGGCTCTGCTGGGAACAGCTCTACATGCACGGATGGCTGTGCTGTGGTCCCAGCAAATAATACAGCCCACAGCTGTATCACTAGACACAAACCCAGAGGCCTGGGTATTAAGTTCAGAATTTCATGAAAGCCTAAAGAACAAGCAGCACAGAGATACCCTGAGCATCGCTGGGGTACTGGACTAGCTGGGTAGTGCCTGGGCACCACAGGTGGGAGACCCTCAGGATTGGAGGCAGGGAGGTGGCAATGACCTGGCCACAGTCTCCAGCCTCCCACTGGAGTTCTGGTGGCACCAGGAGCATCAGGGCAATGCACCTTCAGCAGGTGAGTGGGAAGGAGTATGCAAGGGTGGGCGAAGGCCCATGGGTAGAGGAGATGGACCCCACCCTGCCCCAGTAGCAAGGAGTCTGTCAGTTCGCCATTGCACACAGGATCTTTGATTGGGTAAGGGAAGATTATTCTCTTCTGTGTTGGCTACCTTTCTCTGCCAACTTCTCCCTGTGCATATTACATTTGTGTGTGTGTGTGTGTGTGTGTGTGTGTGTGTGTGTGTGTTGTTTGGAGCTGAAGAGGGTGTGTGTGTGTGTGTGTGTGTGTGCGCGCGCGCGCGTATGTGTATAAGTTTCAGTTCCTCTTTTTCAGTCAATCCCCCTCCCCCTTGCCACCCGCCCTTTGCTCTGCCTTTTTCTTGGCCTCCTTTCTCTTTCCACCCTCTGTTCCCCTCTGGAGAGTAGAAAACACATGCTCAGTTCTCCTAGGCAAACATTAACCCTAGGTGATGCTTTCAATAGGGGGCATAAATCCTGGGCGAGTGAGAAGGGGGGACCCAGAGCCAGCGGGGCAGGAGGCAGGTCTGGTGTTTCTGGTGGTGCTATTGAGCTGCTCCCAGTTACTCTGGGCTGCAGTGGGCCCTGCAGGGATGGAGACGTGAAGAGGACAAATGCCTGTGTCAGTGTATCCACCAATAACTACCTCCTTGGAAGCTTGGGCTGGTCCTCCAGAGAGTCCTAAGTTGAGGGTTAGAGCCCCTAACTGGGCAAAGGATGAGAGGCTGCTTTGAAACGCTCCATATGTGTAAGGTCACACAAGCAGCTGTCCTGCAGATCTCAGTAGACATGCCAGAGCATGCAGTGCCTCCTTCCCCACAGCCCAACCCTTCCCCCTGCTCCTTGCAGGCCTGGTTGGGTGCTCTGGGATCTGGGTGCTGAATCAGTGCAGCTGCTGACTCTGGACCTAGAGCCAGAGTGGCTCTGCCAGGTAGGGAGGTTAGCACTCACATTTTTGCATCACCTGGACAGGGCTGCATGCAGTGAGTGACAGAGGATTCTCCTGCGCTCTGTGGCCAATGGTAGGGCAGCCATGGTGAGCATTCTAAGGCAGTTATGCTTGAGAGGTGGAATCAGTAGAGGGCACTGTATTTTGAAAACCCCCTAACCTTGCTGGAGTAGCCAAGCCTCCAAAGCCACTGGGGTTTGGAGTTGAGGGTCCAGGTGCAATCATCCGTGGGACCTTAGACTGGTCCTAACCCTGCTTCAGCTGTGCCGGATGAAAACTCTTATGGAGACCTTGCCTCACCCTGTTCTTTCCACCTCCCAAAATGCATTTTCCTGAGTTGAAGACACAATACAAACCATCTTTAATTAGGCAGAAAATACAAAGTTTGAGGAAGAAGTTATACGTTATGTAATTAAAGGATTTAAACTTTTCAGCTTTATTGAGATACAATGTAATAAACGGTTTGGTTTTGTTCTTTTGACTTTAAACCCAGAGGTGTTCTTTCACTGAGCTACAACCCCAGCCTTTTTATTTATTTATTTATTTATTTATTTTTGATACAGGGTCTTGCTTTGCAGTTCAGACCCATAGTGATCCTCCCGTCTCAGCCTCCCTAGGCCTGGGATTACAGGCATGTACCACCATGCAGAGGTTCCAGGGGGCCGAATGGCATGTGGCACTAGGTGGGGTCCTTGCACTTGCCAGGCAGGCGCTTATGCCACCAAGCGATCTTCCCAGCCCTTATTTTATTTTTTGAGACATGTCCTTGATAAATTGCCCAGACTAGCCTGGACCTTGTGATCTTCCTGCCTTCAAGGAACTGGGATTACAGACATACATCAAAACAATTGGCTCAAATGATGCTTTTAATGCTCCCCATTTCCATGAGCCTCAGACCTCTTCGCAGGGCTAAAGGAGGGCTAAAGGAGGGGGCAACTTTTATTGAGACAGATAGAGCCAGGTACTTCCTGTGGTACCTCAGTTCAGTTTAACTGGGTTTACTACAACTAACAATAATGACTGTTTATATTTAGTAGGTAGTAGGCACAAGGACTTTCTCTAATCCTCATAACTACTTAGCAAGTGAGGAACCATCACCCCCTTTTTATTGATAGGCACTCTTTGCTCAGCATATTTTGCTTGAATTCTCCCTTTCCAGAGCTAAGCATATCTGACTAGGGCTCAGCTGCCACCCCACCCTAAGATTACGAATTAGAATCCCAGGCGTCACATCAGAGTTTCCCAATTCTAGCCCTAGGCGGGTTTTTATGAGAAGCATTCTTCCAAGAAAACCTATTTTCTGCTAGCTCTTTGGGATGTATAGTTGGAGAGGGAAATACATTCCTGGTGGGGTGGGTGGTGTTGAGTGCGATTTTCCGAAAAAGAGGACGGCCAGAGGCATTCAAAGAGCTGTGGAATTCCGGTTGGAAATGGGTTTCTTTGCAGTCAATCTGTGAAGTTCTTCGGATGTTAGTTTCCAGAAAACCAGAACTCACACTTAGGGTCACAAAATCTTGGGCATTTATTTGTCAAACCCCATGGATGTTATCCCCAAGGACCCGCCCCACCTCTGCCCCTTCGCTTTTGGAGCAGAACGAAACCCATTCTGGGGCTTTTGCAGGAAGTCTTCAGGCCCTTGCGTCCGGCCCCTTTCAACATCAAAGCCCCCCTGAGAGCAAAGGACTTTGAAAAGATAGGAAAAGTTCAGGCTCCTTATCGCGTCCTTGCTCACCGCCGTGCAAGTCGTAAATTCCGAGCCTCTGCGGCCTCCCTCTGTCCCCTCCGTTCTTCTAGGCTCCAGGTCTCAAAGGACAAAGCTGTCACTCCTTGTCCCGCCCCGATAGGGACAAAATAGCTGGGGACAGAGGGGCACAAGATCTGGGACTTGTTAGAAAGGCGCAGGACGGCCCTCCGCGGCCGGGACAACGCCTGGCACCCGAGAGGGCTCCCCTCCAGCAACCTCCTTCTGGGCGGGGCGGAGCGGGGGCCGGGCTGGGTGCGCTGCTGCGACCCCGCAGAGGGCCCTGCGCGGCGCGGCGACCATGCGTTCCCGACTTGTGTCTGTGCTTCTCTGCAGGCCAAGAGGGCATCCTGCGCTGCCACCCGGACCTGGCCGGCCGTGAGGGGCAGCAGGGCGGGCTCACCTCCGAATCTCAGCGGGAGCAGAGCGGCGCGGGCCTGACGAGCCTGGGCGCAGAAGAGCGGCACAAGCTGGCCGAGCTCAACGCCGAGTACCGCGCGCGCTTCGGCTTTCCGTTCGTGCTAGCCGTGCGCCTCAGTGACCCGGCGGCGGTGCCCCGAGAGCTGGCGCGCCGGTTGCGCTGCACGCCCGCGCAGGAGCTGCGCACCGCCCTGGGCGAGGTGAAGAAGATCTGCCATCTGCGCCTAGCCGACCTCCTCAACGCCGACCCCGCCCGGCTCTAGCCCGACCGCGGCCTGGGAGCCCCGACGCCCGGCGGGATGCGAGAGGGCAGTGATCCGGGCTGCGGATCCCGTGCGGGAGTCTGACTTGGGCTTGGATCATCGTCCGTGCACACGCACAAAGGAAGGCGAGAAATGAACAATCGTACCAGCAACGAGCCCCTTTGTTCATCTACCCACCCGCGCACGATCTGTCAAAATACATAGTTAAGTGCTTTGTCGCGATTTATCCAGCTCATTGCTTTGATTCTCGCTTTGTCGCTTGCGGACACTACCCGTCCCGTGGATTCCAAAGCATGCGTCCAAATCTTAAACCCCCACCCCCATCGCCCGTTAACCTCTAGCCCCAAAGCAGCAAAGCAGGGATGGAAGTGGGATCTTTAGTCCCACTGCAGTTCGTCTGCTGGCTTGTTTGTTTTTCTTCTCCCTCTCATTTGCAACACCTGACTTTTATGTGCCAGCGGAAGCGACTTTCTCGGCGTCTGCGGAAGCTGGAGCTAGCAAAGCAAAGAGCTGGCCTAGGTCGGGCGCGCTTGGGAGAGGCCGAGAAGAGGAGAGCGGGGGGCCAGGGCAAGCTTCGCCAAGGGTCCACTAAGGAAGGCACCCCGTGGTGACGGGCGGAGTAGCTGCAGTTTGGGGAGGAGTGGTGTCTCCAAGCTGCACGGGCCAGGAGAGGTGGGCTCCTTGCCTCGCAGAGGTTGGCCCTAGGAGTGGCAGGGATTGTCTCCAAAAATTATTTTAAAAAGAATAATACTCATTGGGCAGAACTAGAGGTTGTGGACCGGGAGATGAAGGGAGTACCCCTGTTGTGCTGATGAAATGGAGGGCAATCTGTGCCTGCAGAAATCCTTGCCCAGACAGCAGGCCGGCTTTGGGAGCTCGCCATCCTGGGGTCCAGAGGAGAGTCCATGGAGTAGCTCCCTGCATCAGCGATGAGAATGACCACTGGGAAAAGAGCGAAGCACCATTCAGGAAGAGCGTTCTTAACCCTATCCCTATCCCTATCCCTATCCCTATCCCTATCCCTATCCCGATTCCTATTCCTATTCTGTGCAAAAGCAAAACAAACCCCAGGACATACTGTTACTTAGACTTTTCCTGGTGAAGGAGAAATGAACCATCCATGTCTTTCCTAAAGCTGGGAATGAAGGTAGAGTTGACCCTTTCAGAAACAAGGATTTCCATTAGTGTTCAGTCTTATTCCTGGCTACCTATTGCAGCAAAACAACAACAAACAAAAACAAACAGAAAAGCAAAAGCCACACCAAGCCAAACCCAAAACTCCTCTTTTCTTAAATAGCTGCTGGTGGGGGCCTGGGAGATGGCTCAGTAGAATAAACGCTTGCCTGGCAGGCATAAAGGCCTGAGTTCGATTCCCGGTTCCACCAAAAAAAGAAAGAAAGAAAGAAAAAGAGTTGCCAGTGATACTCTTGGTTCTGAGGCTGATGGGTCACAGTAATCAATCCCTCTTGGAGCAATAGGAATTTTAGTGAAGGAACCTCTGTCTTCTTTGCCCATCTCATAGGTGCTTCCTGCTGGAAGTAAGAGTGCCAGCTGTTGGTACTAGTGATAGGGAGGCTGCCACCAGCGCCCAAGGCCTTAGGCGCCTCTGGGTGGAGGAGTACCAGGTGCACTGGGGGAGGGCAAACAGGAACTCCTGGACTTAGTTCCAGTAATGTGGGCCCCAGGCAGTGGTGTTGAGCCCTAGGCCTGCGGCTAGACGCCCACCAATCAGGGGGATTTCCTGACACACAGGAGCACCTGCTTCTGTTTTTTTTTTTTTTTTTGCGGTACTGGGGATTGAACTCAGTTCCTTGCACTTGCCAGGCAAGTGCTTATTGTACTGAGCCATCTTCCCGGCCCTACCTCCTTCTTGATAAAGAGATTATTTTTTGGTCTTGGACTCATACCACAGGGGAACCTAGGCCAAATAACCCACTAGTATTGAAAGCACTCTGTCCAGACATGGGTTGACTCCAACGAATTGATTAATGGGCCCTAAAATGCAGGGTCCTGGCTCTTTAGGTAAGATAAATGTGTTCAACGTAAGATGCAAGGAATTTACTAGGGCAGGATTCCCCACGCTACTTGTAGCTGGAGTTTAGATGCGATCAGGGCCTCTCCCGCACGTCCAGGGTGTCTCCAGTTACGAAAGTACATTTCGGTGGTTCAAAGTGTGTCGGGGAAATTGTTTATTCCAGGGTGGGGGAAGAGTTCAGAGGGGACAGTCGCTGGCTCTTGCAGGCGTTGGGGGTGACAGGCTGGAGAGTGGGGTGGAGGACACCTATTCCGAAGTCGCCGGACCACCAGAAGCTGCATGTGGGAGGCTGGACCTGGGACATGGTCACCTGAATGATTGCTGCGGCAAAGCCATGGACGGGTTCCTACTGTCCACTTAAGGCAGAAAGCGTGGAGGTCGCTGCCGTTTCTCTCAACGCACAGGCTACGTGTGGCTGCCCAGGTATGGCAGAGCCATGTCTTGGGCCACATTTGCCCCAGTGACACACTAGGCTTCTGTGGCCCTTCACCTGGAGCACACACTTTCCTGCTTCTGCCCTCTGCTGCGCTGGATGCGGGACACAAACCCGGACCGCAGGCACGGAGACAGCAGACTAGTTCTCCAGCGCGCCTAGCAAAACTCAGAGGCCACGGAAGGGACCAGTGCTGCTTCCAGGAGAATAATTAGTATTTTATTGATTAATTCGTTGAAAAAATTAATGTAAAGTGAAAACTGCAGTGGCAATGCTACTGACTTGGAAGGCAAAAAACTGAGTTTGATTTCCATAAACCGTCATCTGGCCATGCATATACACTTTAAGGAGGTGAGGGATGGTGTCACCGATTTTCAAGTCATTTTGAAATATTCGAGCCAATCCAGCGAAAGTGCACATAGCCCAGTGGAGCATAGTTCAGGGCAGGCATCCTGGAGCCAAATTCGCTCACCTATGGAACTGGGAAATTAAATGGAGCCTTTTAAAGAAACTATCCAGAAAGGTAGACTTTTTGGTCCGTGTGCCCCAAAGGGATCCACAGACACTATGTGGGAAGCAAAAACAGGAAAAAGGGCAGCACTGAGGGCCGGTAAAACAATTTTACCTGCAACTTTTACTCCTTATAACCAGACCCATTTCCTGAGATCAGCCTGAGAATACCGGTTCTGATTCAAAAATGGAGAAGAGTTCTTTGCAAAAAGTGTTAAGGCAAAAATAGGTGGAGATCTTCTCTGTCACTTGGAGAAAAATCTAGGGTGGAACTTATGGAAAATTTACCACTCAATAAAATAATAAACTGCAGTTAGCGCATGCCTGTGAAAGAGAAATAAAGAGTACTGGGAAAGCGGTCAGTATTGTAACAATTGCAGAACCTTGTTCTGGTTGTTCTGGTACTCTTTGGTGTAGGGGTGGGGAGTTATAATTCCTTGAATCATGCTTGTTGGTTCTGTGTTGGGATGTGTTTCCAGGTGGCACCAACAGGTATAGTAATGATTAACATCTGTATGGACTACTGCAGGCTGCAATGAATGCTCATATAGAGACCTGAACAGCTCACTGTGCAGCTTAAGGAAAATCGTCTAACCTTTCTGGGCCTCAGAGTCTCCTGTTTAAAGTATGTAGACCCCTGATTCCCTTGTAGGGAAAGCAGCTTGTCAAGTGGACACAGTGAATTAGGAGAGTGAAACATTTTTCTGAACTGCTTCCCTGGCCGGCCACGCACAGCTTAGTTATCCCATAGGGCTTCCTGGGAACATATTTTCATACGACACACAAAGGTCATTGTGGTCATGAGACAATGATGAGTGAACAAATGTTAATTGAGGGTCTCCATGCCAAGCCACGTGGGTAGCATTTGACCAGCCCAGGGAGTCTGCAGCGTCTAACATTAGTGAGCTTCTCTGGTGGTAGAAGCCCCAGCTCCCATGAGGGTACCAGTGTTGTCAGTCCTCTCTACTCTTAAGTCTTTTCTGTCTCTCTCTCTAAGTCGATCTCTCCCTGTCTCTGATTCCCCACAGAATTTAAATCACTTTCTGTGCTCAGAATTACACAATGAGTACATAGACCCTCATTTCAGAGCAAAGAAAATGGGCAACTACTATTTATTTGCATAACTTTAACTCAGTGAATAAAACTAGATATCTGTGTTCAAATACTACCCCTTCTCCCAAGTCTCTATTTTATTTATTTATTTATTTATTTATTTATTTAATTTCCCTGGCTGAGAGTATATTTCAGATAGGTGAGCAGAAAAATCTCTGCCTGGTCTGGCCTGGGTCAGGAAGCTCGATGGTACTCCCTCTTGGGCAGAGGGAATCAGTGGGATCCTTTTCCAGGCCCCTCCAATCCAGCTCTGTAAGGCAAAACTCTTGCTCACAGTGACCTCCCATGGATTCAGGGACTTTGCTTAGGTAGAAAGGATAACACACACAGTGTGCTGGGGAGGAAAATGTTCTTCACTGGATGAGGACACATCTAGATGAGGTCCCATCTGCTCTGGTGAATGCAGCCCAGGCAGCTGTGGGCAGCTGCGGCCCCTCCTTGCTGCTTGGGATAACATGATGGTTTCCATTGTGGCCTGATGAGACTGGACAGGTGGCGGACTCTGGGGAGGCTCTACAGAAAGGATGCTCTTATTGATCTCCTTCCCAGAGATATTAGTGGAGTAGACTGTGGCAGGCCAGGGTGGGGTTGCTGAGGTCAGACCATCCATTATTGAGTCTTTCTTTGTGTGAGTCGATTGTTGATGGAGTGCAATGGCTGAAAGACTCCCTAAGCTTGGAATTGAGTAGAGGCTGCAGTTTCCCCCCCAACATTATGGACTGAGAACATGAATAATTTCACTAGGAAACCTTTTTTTCCCCCATCCCCTTTTCACTCTTCCTTCATTGCCCTGTTGTCCTGGGAATTGAGTCCAGTACAATAAGGGTTGCCAGCATGGGGGAGAAGAGGGGTTATGGATATGCTGTGTCTTATTTTTTATTTTTTATTTTTTTTATCTGAAAGGGATTCACAAAGTAGACTTTCATGCTAAGGTAGGTAGAGACAGTCTACCCTATCTGGGTCACATGGATCACCGGGCTCCTCAGTTCTGGAGCCAAAAATATCAGGAAGATCTGGGGTGTCCCTAGCAGCTGCAAACATTGGGGACCTTTGAGCAGGGAGGGAGCCGAGTCAATGATCTGTGGATTTAAGGAGTGTCTCATCTGCCTAGTGGAGCAGTCCGCCCCTTCCGGCAGTCTCCTGCTCCCCACCCCCCTCTGGAGCCCAAGCCTGGGCCACCAGCTGAGATCCTGCAGGCTGGGACCCTCTCTGAAGAATGTGGAATGGCCTCTGCGCAGTAACAAAGAGAAGTCCCTTTGATAACCTGGTTGGGTCCGCCCTGGCCTCTTCTGTTCCTTTATTTACCTGGATCTCTCTTTCTGCCTTCTCCTCCCCTGAAAAGTCAGCTGCAGTTTCAGCCCCAGTCCAATTCCAGCTCCAAGCTTCCCAAACAAGTTTGCCTCCCCTAGAGCAATTTGCTGCAGGCTCTCCTGGTCCCTACTTTGGCAGTTGAGGAGTACAGGATGGAAAGGAGCTTTTGGCAGGAAGGGTTAGAGGTGCCCAAACCAGGTGCTTCCTGGGTTAGGTCAAAGTGTCTAAGAAGCTGACAAGCACTTTTGGCTCAGGACTATGAAAACCGTGTGTGGCATGATACAGGAGGCTCTGTGTCCTGCAATGGCCACAGACTAGCACCCAGAGGCTGGAGAAACTGCCTCAACAGAGAACAGGCCTCCAGAAGACAGGCAAGGGCCACGGGACTGCAGAACTGCCTACCGGTTAGGGATGTCTGGGTAAAAAGACTCTCAGACTCTTTTGCTACTGTCAACAAAAATCTGAATTGTTCCCACAACTCTGTTCATTTGTGGGACCCCTCTTGGCTGAAAAGGACCCAGTACACTGAGAAGGACACTCATTCTGAAGAGTTTGTCCAAGAATGTAATATCCTGGCTCCTTTCCCCTCAACAATTAGCCCCGACCCCAGGACTACTGCTGGGTTCTGCTCCTGCCATTGAAGCCCATCTCTGCAGTGAAGGAAACCAACTGGATTTCACAGTTGGTCCCTTTCTTGAGTTCAGGCACCCCAAGTGAATCTCAGGCTTCCTCGTGGCTCAGCCAGTTCTGGGCCCCCATTTGACCAAAGCAGTTGGGTGCTCAGACTAGAGTCTCTTCTCCAGAGCCAGCATAGAAACACAGCTGGAAAATGGGGACAATTATCCAGGGCTGACAGTGGGACCATAAAATCTCAGGAAGTGGCCACCACAGGGCTGAGGGAATGGTTGTCCCTAATAAAGTGATTGTTCCAAAGAATGCCAGCATTCTGAAGATACAGGCTTGAGCCTTAGATGGGCTGTCAGAGCGCCAGTTTGGGAGGGGGTTGTGAGGGACTGAAAAGGGGATCGTGTCTCCAGGAAGAGGAGGGAGACTTGCTAGATCAAAAGTCTGTAGTGCCTACCACTTACCCTCCCACAATTCCTGCCCATTCGGCCCTTCCCTCAATGATCGGTGCTAAGTAATGGGCTTTGCAGTTTACTTACAGTTTTGCTTCTTGGGAAATGAGCTGGCACTCAGCTGTCCCTGCCAAGTCCCTGGAGGTATATTTAGGAAGACCAGCTGGGGTCTCAAGTCTTTTGGGTGTGCAGCCACTGACACCTCCAGTTTTAACCCTTTTCCACGGCTCTTTGCTACCATACTTGGAGTGCTTTCATCTGTTTACGCTATACAGGTTAGTTGCTGTCACCTACAAAATTAAGAGGTACCAATACCAGCTTAATTCCCGATCATAGGAGATTTTTGGATCAAAGGAGATAAAGGACACTGAAAAGTACTCCAGAGATGAGAAGATGAAGAGAACGGTGACAAATGCCATGAGGAATGCTTGACAAGGAGAAGGGACACATTCACTTCTCCTCAGGTTCCAAGCCTGATGGGTGTCCTGGAGTCAGTTTTATTTTAATTTTTTGCAGAACCGGGGATTGAACTCAGGCCCTTGTGCTTGGCAGGCAAGCACTTATTCTACTGAGCCATCTCCCAGGCTCCTGTTCTATAGTCAGGATGCCCAGCTCACAGGAGTCTGGCAGCACTGACTGGTTCTCCGAAAGGAGTCAAATGGTGTCTACTGGCCGCACCCCAGGGTTGGCGAAAAGGAGATAATTCCCCCCCCCAAGCCACATCTAGCTGCCTCTGGACTTCTGTCTGGGTAGTTCCTAATCCTGGCTGCACAGCTCCAGACCCAGTGGCCCCTAAGTCCCTTGACCACATAGCTCCAAAACCTAAGAGATCCTTTCTTAGCCTTTGCCTGTTTAAAGCTGTTCACCGGCAATAACTAATAATGGTCATGTGTTTTCTTCACATTCCTTGAAGATGGAAAGGAAATTTTGTTGGAGTGTGTTTTACTTTGCAAAGAGGGTAGCATTTTTAAAACAGAGGTTCTACATAAGACATAATTACCTAGGCATTAGCAAAACTTCTAGTCTCCTTTTTCTTGATATGACTGCCCATTTGAGTAGAATAACCCTGCTAGTGTAATGTGCTGAATTTTCCCAATGTGAACACTCAGAGCAGCCAGCACTTTGCTCAAGAGATGCAAAGTTGCTGGCACCGTGGCCATCCCCTCCACTCAGGGGATCACTAGCCAGACTCTGCCATAGGCCGGCCAGTGTTTAGTTAAGATGTTTGGTTCTTGGCTGAACATTTAAAAAATGAATTGCTTTAATTTAACTCAAATCCCAAATGTAAGATGAATTTGTAGATGCATCTGGAAGCCAGGGTCAATTTATCTTCTGCAGAAGGCGAGTGATTTCCTTGGGCAAGAAAATAAATCAGCGGTGACAGTGGTGACAGTTGTTAGGGGTGGCAGTCCTCCAGACCAGGAACATGGAGAGATACAGCCCTTCTCTTAGCGCTCTGCTCCTCACCTCTGTCGTTGGTCAGAAATGTTCCCATCAAAGCAACAGCTTTCTTTTTCCTTTCTCTTTGGGGACCAGAGTTTCCTTACCACCCCCTTTCCAGTGAAGGCATAAAGACAGCTCCAGTCTCTAACCCCAGATTCCCACCAAGATAGCTCTTTCTCTCCCCAGGCTCTTGCAAGTTTCTTTATTTCATTCTTTGAACCTGTGATTGGAGGTTAAAGTGCAGCAGGTTGGAAGGAGGAAGCTCCTAACAATAAAGGCTTGAATATTTAGCTGTGATCAGGTCGCTGCCCTAACCCAAGGTCCCCCCCCCACCTTATCTTTTAAAATGCAAATCGTGTTTTGGGGGGGCCAAGCGCTGAGTGTGCGCAGCGCCTCGACGTCTCCAGCCATTGGTGTCTGTGTCATTACTAATAGAGTCTTGTAAACACTCGTTAATCACCTAAGGCCGCCGGCCGGGTATCCGCACGCCAGCCTGTGGCGGGTCTTCCCCGCCTCTTTAGCCTAGTGGGAAGGAGGTGGGAGGAAAGAAGGAAGAAAAAGAGGGAGGGAGGAGGCTGGCCAGTGGGAGGCACCGCCTAGGAGGCAGAAGCGCCGAGAGGAGCCAGCGGAGCCGCGGAGCACCGCGCGCCAGGGCGCAGCTACCCGCCGATCCTTGCACACTCGCATCCCTTCCCGTCACGTCCACTCCCCAGCCAGCCTCCAGCGTCCGTCCCTAGGCAGCATGGTGAGGTCTGCTCTCGGTCCCTCGCCACCATGTACGTGAGCTATCTCTTGGACAAGGACGTGAGCATGTATCCCAGCTCCGTGCGCCACTCTGGCAGCCTCAACCTGGCGCCGCAGAACTTCGTCAGCCCCCCGCAGTACCCGGACTACGGCGGGTACCACGTGGCAGCCGCAGCGGCAGCGGCCGCGAACTTGGACAGCGCTCAGTCCCCGGGCCCGTCCTGGCCCTCCGCGTACGGCGCCCCGCTCCGAGAGGACTGGAATGGCTATGCGCCTGGGGGCGCAGCCGCGGCTAATGCAGTGGCCCACGGCCTCAACGGGGGCTCCCCGGCCGCTGCTATGGGCTACAGTAGCCCCGCCGAGTACCACCCGCACCACCATCCGCACCACCATCCGCACCACCACCCACACCACCCGGCTGCCGCACCGTCCTGCGCCTCGGGGCTGCTGCAGACGCTCAACCCTGGCCCTCCTGGGCCCGCCGCCACGGCTGCCGCCGAACAGCTGTCCCCCAGCGGCCAGAGGCGGAACCTGTGCGAGTGGATGCGGAAGCCCGCGCAGCCGTCCCTGGGAAGCCAAGGTAAACCGCGCCGGCGCCCGCGCCCCGCGGGAAGGCTGGGGAAGGCGCTGGCCGCGCGTCCTGGGCTCACCCGGCACCGCAGCTGCCTGGAGCTCAGAGCCGAGAGGGCGTGGCGATGAGCCGAGCTCCGGGGCTCTGGCTTCTCTGGGTTTCCCCGGTCTTCCCTTGGCTGCTGCTCCTAGGAGTGAATGTTTGGGAGCACAGGCGCAGAGTAGGGTAGAGAAAAGGCTTCCTTCTCCCACCAGTTCTCACAGCCTTGAGCCGCCTGCGGGAAGCTCTCGGAATGGCTTGCGTCTCTGTCGGTCCGGGAGCTCTGTCGTGTCCTCTCTACTGCTGCGGCCTGAGCCCCTTGAGCAGCTCCTCACCGCAGAAGAGAGGGAGGCTCGGACTCCCCTGGGCGGCGTCGGCATCATTTCTACCTGAGCTGTCTTCCGAGGCACCGCAAAGGAGAGGTGCCCGGGGGAGTCGGGGGGCGGCAAGCCTCCCCTTGGGGCCAGGATTGGTGTTCGGGACAGTTCAGGGGCTTGGACCTACAGGGAACGGATTGAGGACGCTGCTGTGGCAGCGAAGGTGCTGACCACAGGCGCTCAGGGGAAGGGGGCACGCCCGGGTCCCTGTATCTTTGATCTGCTAAGGGGCTATTCCGGGTGAAAGCTGGAAGGCCGTGGCCAAAAAAGGCGCTAGGAGAAGGGGAGGAACCTGGTGCGGGTTCAGCCTCGGCACCAGACGGGTAGCTTCCGAAACTTTCCTGTGAAGAGTGAGTGCGCTTGTGTTCTAGACTGGGAATGTTCTTGCAAAGACCCTAACTTTGCCGGGCTATGGGACTCTGGCTCTAGGACCCCTTCTGCTGTGTATTTAGTTAGGTGGAAAGAAAGTGAAAATAGGTACGGTGGGAGTCCTGCTGGCGTCTAGGTTATGTTCGATAAGTCTTTCCCCGGCCCTCGGTGCTTCCACTGCCCTTGCTTAGCTGATCCAGTTGGGCCGCTTGCACGTTATGGCCCCTTTGCAGAGGTTTATAGCCAATTACTGTCGTATAAATCAGCGCGTCCGATAGGGGCTGTCTCTGGACACTGGCTTCTGCCACGTTGCGCACATTCTGGGTTCGTACAGGCGGGAAATGAGCCGGGGAAGAAGCCCACAAATCACCATCGGTGATCTTTCCCCGCGTGTGGGCTTTCCCCGCAGACAGGAACCCTGGTCCTAACAGGCAGCGCCCCAGACCTGAGCTCCCACAAACCACCCCACTGAGCTTGCCTGGGACAGTTCAAGGGATTGGACCTACAGCGTAGTTGGCTGGGATCAACGCCTAAAGGAAGACTTTTCCGGTCGGGCAGAGTGGTTGCCGGCTTAGGACTGTGGTGGTAGTGATGGTGTGTGTGTGTGTGTGTGTGTGTGTGTGTGTGTGTGTGTGTACCCCAGGCCGCGGGGTCAGCAGATGAGAGGCCGCTGTGATGTCCCGCGACAAGGTGGCAAGGCCGCAGTAGGCGCCGGGCGCCCTTGTGATGTTAATGTAGGGAGGCCGCGGCCCGGCCGGGAGCCGGCTCCTCTGCGGAGCGTCATCTGTCAGGGGGTGGAGGGGTGGGGGTACCAGGCCCGCGGGCTTTGATATACACCTTCCCAGCCCTGCCATTGTCTCCTTTAGGGCCCGGAAAGAGGGTGGTGACTTTCGCAGTCAATAATGAATTCTGACAAGTCCCTCTCATCCCTCCCTTCTTTCAGCCCGGCTCCTTGATTCCCAGGGGGTGCGGGGCGCCTACAAGGCCCTTGGGGTGCAGAACGCAGAGTGCAACTGGTCCTGGTCACCGAGTTCCGGGGCCTGTTGGGGACATTGAAAGGGCAGAACCCGAGCAAAGGCCACTGTGAGGCACCCCAAGCGAGTCTAGCTCCTGGGATGCTGGCTGGGAGAACTGCCCAGTGCCCACTGCCAGGCCTAGGACTTGTTCCGCTTGAGGCCCAAAGAGTGGTACCCTATCGTGGGACCCGGTCTGATTGCGTCCTCCTCTCTGCACACCGCGCACAAAACTGGAATCCAAGCAGCCCGAGCTCGGACGCGCTCCCCTCGGGAAAGCTCTCAAGGGCCCCTTCGATCCCTTTACTTTCCGGGCCGGCGCAGGTCGGGCCACAGCTCCATTCAAATGCGCCTGCCGGGCGGTGTTTATGTTAACACGCCTGGCGGGAGGGGGATGAAAGCCCGGCCGCCATTTGCTCAGTAGTGGTAATTCAAACAAAATGCGGTTGTTATTAAGGCATTGAATGGGCTTTTCTTTGATAAGATCGCCTTGTCCTGCATTGTTTGCGGCTGTGTTCCCCTTTCAGTGGCTGGGGGACCTCCCTCTGATCCTGCCAGTGTCTTCCCAGGGCGCTTTTGTTATGGTTTGCAAAGGGTTTTACCTGAACAAAGTCAGCCCGCCAGGCATTAAACACCTCCAAGCAACTCCCAGACCCTTTAGATCTTCCTGAAGGAGTGGGCACCAGGAGATTGAACCTGGTCAGCCAGGAGACCACCCTGACCTGGGCCCGAGTCCAAGAGAAAGCTCCTGGAGGAGGGGCTCTCTACCAAGATCTGACCAGGCTGTGACCAGGCTCCAGCTTGCTCCAACAGCAGCGACACTCTTTGTCAAGCCCCTTCAGTAAAACAATCAATCCAGGATTTAATGTGTTGACTTAATCCAGCGATTATAGATTACTGGTCAGGAAAGCTCTGGCAGGGTTTGCACTGGGAATAAGTGGGGGATTAAAAAGAAAAAGTTCCCCAGGCCGACCTGGTTGGCCAGGAACGAAGTGCCCCAACAGGAGAGATTTTCCCCTGCCAGCAGAAGTTATCCAGGAGCAAGCTCAGGCTTCTTCACACCGAGCCCAAAGCATCTGGGCTGATTCTGGTCGCTTGGTAATGCTCAGCACAGCGCACAGCCCCAGCTGTTTTGACGGTGAACTGCTATACTGGCTGGCCTGATACCTGCCGTTCCACCTGCCCCCTTCCATGTGATGCTAAATATATTCCAGTACAGTGCTATGATTGGGTTTCCAAAAGGGCAGCCTGGATTCTGATGTCTTCTGTGTATGAGATTTTAGCTTTAATTTTTACAAACAACTTAACCCCAAGGTTATTGTAGCTGCCACCACTACTTCCCACTCTCCCACTCTCCCAGAATTGGGGGTAGGCCTGTCAGACCTGGCAGGAGCCAGCCAAACTCTGGCCCCCCGGGGTGCTGGAGGAAGAGAAATGGATCCTGGGTTAGGGAGGTTTGTCATTACCTATGACTGATGGGTTGCCTTGTGGCTCTCAGCCCTAACTTTTCCTTCCTCCACAGTGAAAACAAGGACGAAAGACAAATACCGAGTCGTGTACACTGACCACCAGCGGCTGGAGCTGGAGAAGGAGTTTCACTACAGTCGCTACATCACCATCCGGAGGAAGGCCGAGTTGGCTGCCACGCTGGGGCTCTCAGAGAGGCAGGTGGGAACTGTCTTCTCCCAAGGCCCTGATCAGGAGGGGAGAGTGGGCAGATACAGGGCAACCAGAACATTTACCTTTTGAAGACCTTTTATGAAGGTTTTATTCTACTTAGTGTTATCTTCCTGTCATTGAAAGTTTTTTGTATATTGAGGGGCCTAGAAGGTACAAGAAAAATTCAGGTGTTACTTTGGTGCAGAATTCTATTTGGAGGGTTGGGGACATAGTTCAGCGGCGTAAGTGCCTGCCAGGCCAGCCCAAGGTTGAGTTCAATCCTCAGTACTGAAAGAATTCCATTTGGGTCCATAGACACTTACCCTTATTCACTGAGTTCCCAGGATTAGGAAAACTTAAAACAGAAGGTGTAGCCTCCGCTCAGAAAAACAGGAAGTGTGGCCAGGCACTAGGGAACAGAACTCTAATCCTAGCACCTCTGTAAACTGAGGCAGGTGGATTGATCACCAGGGCAAGTTAGCCAGACCCTCAAAGTAAAATTTGAAGAGTATTGGAGACGTAGCTGGGTCTTGTACAGCATGTGTGAGGCCCTGGCCAGGAAGCTGCACATTAAATTTCATTTTCAACTTCAAGGTGAAAAATATTACATTTCAGTTTAGCTGTGAGGGGCCAAAGGTTGCGAAGTGAAGTTCTCTCAGCTCTGGCCTCTCCCTGCCTGGGCAGGAAGAATTGGAGGCTGGCCTATTTTCTTTGTCTCTGAGACTATAATTTCCCAATAAGCTATTTTCTTTGTCTCTGAGACTATACTTTCCCAATAAGCTCAGGAGGCTGAGCTGGGTATGTGAACAGCTTCTGCCCTAGGCTGTTTCTGAGTATCCAAGGAAAGCGTCTAACCAATTTCCTGGTCCTTTCACTGCAAAAGAAGATATTGGTGACAATGCTGGAAACACTTCTGCTTTTCACATCTTCACCATCTCCTGTTTTGTCCCACCGTTCTATTTCTAGGTTAAAATCTGGTTTCAGAACCGCAGAGCCAAGGAAAGAAAAATCAACAAGAAGAAAATGCAGCAGCAGCAGCAACAGCAGCAGCAGCAGCAGCCGCCTCCTCCTCCACCTCCACCGCAACCTCCCCAGCAGCAGCCAGGACCTCTGAGAAGTATCCCAGAACCCTTGAGTCCTGTGTCTTCCCTGCAAGGCTCAGTGCCTGGCTCTGTTCCTGGGGTTTTGGGGCCTACTGGGGGTGTGTTAAATCCCACTGTCACCCAGTGACTCCCATGGTCTGCAGCCACAGCAGAGCAATTCTAGGCTAAGCCACGAGAAGCATGGATTTTGCTACCATCTTTGGAGGAGACCCCTGACCTGTTCACAAGCATCTGGCTTACAGGAAAAATGGGGATCAGGAGTGAGAACAAGTGGGGTCTACGGCCTCATGGACGATATCCAGGGATTTTTTTTTTTTTTTTTTTTTTTTTTTT